CTTGGGGGCCTTTTCGCTGGAACAAAAAAAGACATTGACCCCGAGCGGGATGTTATGTGGAAAGAAGAGACTGAATATTTGCCAGCAGTCCTTCGGTTGTGCCTTTGCCTTTGATTTTTAGGGAGCAGGTCCGTGTCTTCTCCCTGATTAGTGGTGCTCACTCTCATTTCCGCTGCCTCTTATTCAGCTGATTTATTTAAAGGGATGTCAGCACAGGGCTGAAATGAAGCACTGAGCCTCCTCTTTCTGCTCTTTGCTGACCGCTCCAATAATTCATTTTTTAGCTCATTAGCTAACGGGGGATGTGAGCAGTGGTCCTTCAGGGGATTGGAATGAGGGGAGGTGATCTACTGCTGACAACTCTGCTCTTGGACTGGCCTTCCTCTGGGAACATGGAAGACTCAACCAAGACAAGCTGTGTATCCCTGAAGTCAAATTGGGCCATCGGGGTAACAATTAGAGTATTTATGTGTGAGGCACGATTTCTAGGGTGAACAGATTTAGCCGAGAGAGAGAGAGAGAGAGAGAGAGAGAGAGAGAAATGAGAAACTTCTGACTTTGGTATAAAAGTTGAAGGGACAAGGTTAGAAGCCAGGGCAGTGGATAGAGCCCTGCACCTGGAGTCAGAAAGCCCTGAATTCAAATCCTGACTTTGATACTTAGTAGCTGTGTGACCCTAGACAAGTCACTTAATCTCTGTCTCCCTTGATTTTCTTGCTTATAAAATGGAGATAAAAATAGCAGCATTGTTATAAAGATCAAATGAGATAGTGGTAAAGTGCTGAGCACGTTGCCTGGCACATAGTAAGTGCTTTATAAATGCTAGCTGTTGTTGTTATTATTATCGTCGTCACCATTTTTATTATTATTATAAGTTAAGGGAGGCCATGATATAAAAATGTCTTCAGGCCGGAGATCTTTATGAACGCTACTGACAAAAGGAAGAGGTGAGCATTTGGGAAGAGAGGGGGTAGACACCACTTTGGTTTCACCTGAGGATGTGCCAGACCAGATGTTCAATTGAAAAGAGAGAGAGAGAGATCCTTCCTGCGTGTGCCTCCATCAGGGGCCGTCACAATCCAGGAAGAAGCTGCTGCAGCCACAGCAAGAGGGCTGGACTTGGGGCCAAGAAGACATGGATTCGAATTCTGCCTCAGACACTGAACCACTGGGTGACTCTGGACCTCAGTTTCTTCATCTGTTAAATGAGGAAGTTAGGGAGGCATCATGATGCAGTAGGAAATGTTCTAAATCTGTTATCGATACAGGACATACATCCTTAAAAAAAATATACTGCTCCACTTAAAGAAAGAGGAAAGGAAAGGGAAAGAAAAATAAAGAGAAGAAGGAAGGATGGAAGGAATTGACTCAGTTTCCAATTATGTGATTTTTACCCAGTTTTTTGCTTTGTACAACCAAAATTTTGAGGGGGCCGGAATTTCTTCTCCAAAGCCTTGGGTCATAGCGTTATAACAGTTTTTGAACTGGAATATACCATTTTGGACATTGTCTGGTCCAACCCTCATTTTACAGATGAGGGAACTGAGGCCCCGAGATGGTGACTAGAGGGAAGGGGCCCCGAAAGCCCTCAAAGCATGAAACTCCCTTGTCTGAGTCTTGCCCAGGATGGGGCCTCCCACGTTTGGCTTGGCCCCTGCCTGATTTAAACACAGGCACCTCCCATCTCCTGGAAACCCCATAGTCCTCCTTAACCCTCTGTTCCCACCCCCTTCCTCTGAAAATGATGAAAACATGGCTGAATAGTGAATAAAAGAGAAGTGTTGATTTAGAGCTTCAGTTTCCTGTAAGCCACCCCCTCTTGGTTACCTTGGACATAAAGGATGCCGCAGCTTGTGTGCAAAGCCATAGGCAGGATATCGTTGCCAGGCCAAGAGGGACAAAGGAAGGATGGATGCACACAGGCTCCTTTGGCCTCTTTTATAGCTTCTTTGTAAACTTCTGGGGTGGAAAGATGCTGCTCAGAAAAACGTTCTTGGCCAAAGATGCTTTCAGACCAGAAGTCCTAAGCTAAGGGAGACCCTGCATGTCATCTCTCCCCAAAGCCCTCCTCCTCATCTGAGGAAAATGAAGCCCAGAGAAATGAAGGGATATGCCCAGTGTCATGGATGTAGATGACCTAGTCTCACCCCCCTCGTTTTACAGATGAAGACCTAGAAAGACTTAGGACCGAAGATGAGAGATACAGAGACATCATTGAATTGTGAGCAGAGCGCTGGGCTTGGACTTAGGAAGACCTGAGTTCAAGTCCTATCTCAGACACATACTAGATATCATCCTAGGCAAGTCACTTAACCTTTTCTGTGTCTCACTTTCCTCATGTGAAATGAGGTAGTCAGAGTCAATGGTCTGTAAGATGCTCTGGAGCTGGAAGAGCCCTGAGAGCACCTAGTCCAAATTCCTTATTTTACAGATGGGGAAACTGAGGCCCAGAGAGGTTATGATTTGCCCAAGGTCATACAGGTGGGTCACTTATCTAGAGTTAGAAGGAAGCTCAAAGAGTATCCTCATTTTACAGAAGAGGAAACTGAGGCCCAGGGAAGTCAAGTGACTTTCCGTGGTCACGTACCTAGTATGTGTCAGGGGAAGGATTAGAACACAAGGTCTCTGACTCTGCTTCACCACAGCTCTCTGAGCTTCAGTTTCCTCATTCATGAAAGGAGGTTATTAGAGGTCATGGTCTCTAAGGGGCTTTAGAGGGCATCTAGTCCATCCCTCTCATTTTACAGAGGGGGAAACTGAGCCCCATAGAGATGAAGCGATTTTGCCCAAGGTCCCGCACATTCGATAAGTAGAAGAGCCTGGATTCAAACCCAGGCTTCCGTTCAATCAAGTGAGCAGAGTTCCCGGTCAAGTAGAGGGAAGTTGAGCTGCAACCTACTTAACCATGCGGGTGGGTCATTTCTGTTCTGTGTTTGGGTGGGTTGGTGGATTGAAGGGAAGGGAAGAACTGAGCACCAACAGCCACATTTAAAACGCATTAAGAGTTCATGTTCACTGTGGACATATTGATGGATGGAAAGAGAAGAGCAGTGCTATGTAATTATAATTGCTCTCTTGCTAAGGGATTTTGAAATATAAAGAGAAAATTCCATCACTGCAGTGAGTGTTATAACCCCTGTGATAAGTTCTGGCTTTATCACTTGTGATGATTTTGCAATAACTATTAAAAAGCAACTGGAAGGATATTAAATTGTTCAGGGAGATGATGCCCACAGAGAAAGACAAATGGCTCTAGGCTTTAAACATCCCCGTGTCAATTTCACTTCTCTGCTCTGTTGGTCAATTTCACCTTTGCTCTATTCCTCCAAGATCCTTCATGTAAACTTTGCCATTGTCCTCTTTGGGGACTGGTTTCAGACAAGACTGTTAGTTAAGAAGCTTTTCAGGCTACTGTGTTTGAAATGATGATTAAAAAAATAGCAGACTTTGATTTGGTTTCTCCCCTCCCACACACACTCATAGACATTGAGGCATTGTTTTCCTATACTTTGGCATTGTGTTTCTTGTTCAGCGGGAATTTTGACTTGGCTATCCATCCGCACGGGGGATAATGAGGGATGTTCTGCTCAGCTACAGGGAAATGCTTGTCCTGGAAATCTTAGGATGAAAGGAGTCACAGGGGTGACTCTGAGGTCACTCCACTTGGACCAGGAAGTGATGCAAAACTAATCCACATTTACTGGGGAAGAATTTGTTTGCCTAAGTATTTAAAAACAGATTAGGGCTAACCTGACACTAGATTACCAGAAGTAATGTCAACAGGGTTGAAAGGTGTAAACAGTCCCTTTCTTTGGGGACTCCAGGCAGAAAATGGCCTGAGTAATGAGTTTTCTTCCTAGGACTCCTTCTCTGGGGGCCTTGGCTGGACACACTGAGTTGAGATCCTGAATTTGAGGAGAGAGAGCCCTCGGAATTTAGTGTGTTATCCCAATTCCGGTAGAAGTGGTTGCTGCCATTTTTTAAATATGAGGATTTTTTTTCTCTTTCTTCATCATCATCGTGAAATAGTTGTTGAATTCCTAATTGTTGGGGGTGAGGGAGGTGTCGGACTTTGCCAGACACTGTTCTTACAGGTTTCCAATTTGAAGGGCAACTTGAAAAGGCCAACCCTGTTCTTTGAAAAACCCTGATATTCTTTGTCTAAAGAGTGACACTGCCGAGTTCGTTCAGAAGTGTGAACTTTTCTGTTTGAAGCCAGGCTTTCTTCCCTGCCCCCTCCTTTGAGGAATCAAAATGAACAGAATTACTCAGTGTGGAATGGAAACTGTATTGCCCCAAGAGAGGCAGCAGAAGACCAGCTCTCCTGCTTCTTATGGGAGAGACCCTGTGCCAAGTCACCAGGCTTTGCTCAGCCCCAGTTTCCCCATGCGTAAAATGAGAGAGGTAGGCTAGATAAGGCACAAAGTTTCTTCCAGCACTAAACCTACGATCAGTACTGGGAACTGTAGACAAAAGAGACAGTCCCCATGCCTAGCAAGCTAAATATGTAGCAAGTGCTTAATAAATGCTTTTTTTCTTTTTTTTTAATGAACTTAATAAATATCAACAGACATTAGAAACCTGGTCCTCCATTTCACTGATCTGGCGAGCTCTCAGGTGAGGACACTCCTCCTCCCAGCGAGCGCTGGTACCTCCTCACCAGTTTTAGGAGCATTGCCTGGAATGACGAGAGGTGAAGGGACTCGTAACCCAAGTCTTCCAGGCTGAGGTCAGTTCTCTATTTCACGTGCAAAGAACAGAAAAAGAGGATTGTATAAGAAACTGTGACTCTCCATTACATTTATAGAGCTTGGTCCTGAGAGTCAAATGGTTTTTCATTCACTCATTAATATAAAAACAAAAGAAATACCTCTCCTGATACTTAATGTTTTACCTCCCTCCAAACTCCTGAGGGGTTGTGAGGAGAGGGGGAGAGCTTTCTTAACCTTCTCCTATATGTACTAACCCAGGATCTGGTATCTCACCAACTATTCTTCCAGGGAAGAAAAGGAACGGTGGATACGAGCTAAGTATGAGCAGAAGCTCTTTCTGGCACCTCTCCCGTGCATGGATCTCTCTCTGGGCCAGCACCTGCTGAGGGCCACAGCAGAGGAGGACTTGCGGACTGTCATCCTGCTTCTGGCCCATGGGTCACGGGAAGAAGTGAATGAGACCTGCGGGGAGGGTGACGGACGCACAGCTCTGCACCTAGCCTGCCGGAAGGGGAATGTGGTTCTGGTACAGCTCTTGATCTGGGTAAGTTTCCAGCTTGGTGGGGGGAGAAGGAACACAGCCACTTGGTTGGTCTTTTCCTACAGGATGGGGGAAACCCACAGTACATAAGGTCCTTGCAGCTCAGGAAACATTCCGCACTCTCTCCTTGCTTCTTCATGCACTGATCTATCATGTTCCATGTATGAGACTTTGAGAGAATCACTTCCACTATGTGGGCCTCAGTTTCCTCATCTGTAAAATCAGTTGGTTGGACTAGGTGACCTAAGGTTCCTTCCAACTCCAAATCTATGATTCCATGAAATATGCAGTAAGTCCTATGATCTCCATCCTTTAAATACTAATCCACTGCCATAGAACATCCTTGTGCCAGCTGGCATTGCTCTGACAGGTTAAGGTTGACAGGATATCTTTTCCACAAGTCTTTTGACATTGATCACACAAGTAATATTATCCCCATTTTATAGATGAGGAACAAAAGCTCAAAGGGGTGAGTGATTTGCCCAGGATTCGCAACTGATCACTGCTCCACCCAGCCATTCCCTAGCATCATCATTGTTAGTATTGTCAGGGAAATATCCAGCCCATTCATTGCACAGGCTTCCCTCTGCCTGGGACCAGAGGCCCGGCTCACACACCACCCTCTGCAGGAAGCCAGCCTCCATCCTCTCAACTCAGGATTCTCTCTCTCCTCTGGCTATCATATATACACTTAATGAATTCATTTAATCAAATTCACTCTATTACATGCCTACAAAGACAGAAGCAAAGCAACTTGTGCCCTCCAGTAGCTTACATTCTACTGGGGGTGGGGGGGCTGACACAGATCAGTTGTCTGTATGAGGTCCTTGAGGTCAAGGGCTATTTTTCCTTTTGTTCTTTGCGTCTCTAGTGCTTAGAATGGTGCTTTCAATAAAGAAACTGCTTAATAAATGCTTTTCAAAGTGGAATGGGTTGGGTTGGATTGAGTAGGGCTGGTTTGGAATCCACTGGCGAAAGCGTCCTCTGATCTTAAAATGGCAGGCGTGCAAGGATCATAAAGGAAAGAAGTGTCTCCAGTGAGGTGTTCCATAGGTAAACATCCCAAAGCTGTTTTCCTGGGAGCCCTGTTTGCTAACAGTCTTCCGAAAACTTGATCTTTTTTAGACCAGATCTTTCCACGCTTGACTTCAGGTCAAAGATCCTGCCTAGATCAGAAGCTGGTTTTTTTTGCTGTTCTTCTGTTTCTAAGAAAAAAAATCCTTCCCTTTCTGCCTCAAAAAAAAAAAAACAAAAAAAAAACAACACAAACAGCAAATTCATTTCTCCAGGATCAAAGTGTCTTTCCCTTCTCATTCCTAGAATGCAAAAATCCTTGATGGTGGTAATTGAGCCCCCAAAACCTTTTTTCCTAAGGTCCCTGCTTTACTGACTTTCTGAATGGTATTCACTTATGGGAGGGCTTTGGTAAAATCCAGCTCGATGCATTGGCCAGAAGTACTAATCGGATGAAAGACGTGTTCTTTCACTCAGATGAGGCACCTGGCGCTCTCTGCGAGCTGGTTCCACCCAGCGGGGCACTTAGCAGGAATTACCCAAGTTGTTTCTTCATTGTGCTTGAAGGTGTTCCATAACATTCAACTTGACAAACTTTTATTAAGTGTCCAGAGCCTCACGTTAGGTGATGGAGAAAATGAATGAGACGTGTGTTCCTGTCCTTGTGACACGCAGCCTCCAGGACATGAGGACAAGGCACAAATATCCACAGTATAGGAGAGAAAGGAGGTCAGAGAGGTACAAAGTGGACTGTGATATCAGCCTGGAAGAGCCTGGGGAGCCTCACGTAGGGGCCAAATGGTGCTTGTCATTGATGTGGTTGTTAGGGGTTCTTTCCTGATCATAAGGTCCTAGAGTTGGAATGGAATTGGCCTTGGAACTCATCTCGACCAAACCCTCATTTTACAGATGAGGAAACTGAGTCTGGGAAATGTTAAATGACTGTCAAGGATCACAGATTTAGAACTGAAAGGGATCTTGGAGATCATCCTATCTGACCCTGTTTTACAGATAAGGAAACTGAGGGCCAGGGAAGTCAAGTGATCTGCCCAGAGTTAGATAGATGGTAAGTATCTGGTAAGGCAGGACTTGAACCCCAGTCTTCCTAGTACTTTCTTGTACTTCAAGCCTTTCACTTTATCTACTAAACCACCCTACCCCTTTGATTCTAGAAGGGCTCACCCTTCAAAATCTGAGGCTAATAATAATAATAATAATAATAATAATAATAGCAATAATAGAATTTATATAACACTTTAAGGTTGGCAGAGTGTTTTACAGATATTATCTCATTGGATCCTCATAACCTTGTGAGATGGGTGCTATTACGATCCACATTTTACAGATGAAGAAACCAAGGCAGAGAGAAGTTAAGTGGCTTGTGCTTGATCACATGGCTAGTAAGTTTGGGAGGCTAGATTTGAACTCGGGTCTTCCTCTCAAGAAGAATCTCAGGTTCTTGTCTCTCAAGAAGAAGAAATGATTTCTGACTTGAAAGATCAGTCAACCACCAGTGGCAGAGCTCCAAACATCTGGGTTCGGGTCCCACTTCTGACCCACACTGACTGTGTGACCTTGGGCAAGTCATTTGCCCTTCAGTGCTCCAGGTGCCAGTGTACATTTGACCAGGGGGTTTTCTAATTGGGCAGTCCTTACACCCCTCCAAGAAAAATCATATTTTTAAAAAATAGACTAAATCGAGTTGAGACAACAAGTCAGAAACCAAAATGGAAATTGTTGACCTGAAGCTCTCATTGGCTCATCCATCTTATTTGCTTTTGTGCTTTTTTCAGATACATAAAGATACTGAAAGAATGTGGGGATGTGTTCCAACTGTCCAGGTCCTGAAGGCTAGGGGGTCCAGCATTTCCCGACTCATTTTCCCCTTGATTTCATATTCAATTCCATAAACATTGATGATGAAGTGCTCACTTAAAAACAGCCCTGAGGTAGAAAGACCAAAATGAAACAAGCATTTATTAAGCACCTACTAAGTGCGAGGGATACAAAGCAAGGCAAAAATAGTCCCTGCCCTCAAGGAGCTTACACTCTTAGGGAGGAGCTTTCAGTCCACTTATTCCTGAAGCTTTCTCATCCCCTCCACTCTGAAAGTGTTTTCTTTCCCTCTCTCAGCCATTTTCTTCATCTGGAAAATGTGGGGACTGAATTTGAATTAGTCCAACCCTGAGATTCTTTCTAGCTCCAGATGAAGCACAGAAGGGAGGTGGGGAGGATAATGTGTGTGTGGTGTGTACATGTGTCCTGGACCTCTTAAGCAGAACTCTAGTGAAGCCTTTGGAACCTTTCTCAGAGTAATGCTTTTAAATGCACAAAATGAAATATATAGAGAATTTAAAAAGAAACCATACAGAAATACAATGATCAAAATGTGGTTTATTTGTTTTTTAATATTTGCTCTGATTCAGCCCCATGAATGAAGGAACAAATTCCTCCACCCCCAGCCTGCCTCCCTAGTGCTTTAAAGTGGAATTTCTTGTCTCTGCAGTATGGCGTAGATGTCATGGCTCGAGATGCCCATGGAAACACGGCACTGGCGTATGCTAGGCAAGCCCCGAGCCAAGAGTGCATTGACATTCTCCTGCAGTATGGCTGTCCCGACGAGCGCTTCGTCCTCATGGCGACTCCCAACCTGTCCCGGAAAAACAACAATCGGAATAACAGCAGTGGCCGGATGCCCACCATCCTCTGAGCTGTGAGTGCGGCTTTGCTGGCACCCCAAAATCAGCAGCCCTCGTTGTACCCTTTCTCCTCAAAATTACAACCTGTGAGTGTCGTGAAGTCCCACCTCCCACCTTCCCCAGGGATGGCGGCCTTCCTCCTCGACCACCTCACCTCCACCCCAACCACCCCTCCATCCTACCCCACCCCACTCCCAAAAAATCAGAAATCTGGACAACCATGAGGAGAATAGTGGTGGAAGAGGAGAAGGAAAGAGGACCACAGAATGAATGATCCTCCTTAAAGATCTTAACGATGAACACAGAAAGAGGGAGGACAAAAATCAGCTTGGCCCTGGTCCTTTGATCATGCTTAACCCACGGCATGGGACCGACCATTTTACGGGTTGTCCGCAGACTGTCTCGGCAAGTGATGGGGAAGAGAGCGGGAGAGGGAGGGAGGGAGGAAGAGGAGGCAGAAGAAAGAAGGAACGGTAACTTTCCTTAACTGCCAGTTAAGCACATCAGTACTTTTCCCCACTCCCAAACGGAACCCCTGGATTTCATTCTCTTTGCCGAGGAACTTGACGACATAAATCAGAGGCAAGCACAGAGTTTGTCAGGTTTGAAGCCCCTATGATGGTGTGTGTCAAATCAGTTGTAGCTAATCTGTCCAGGGAGAATACTGGCTTCATTACACTTGTATAGTTGAGCTCTTCCAGCATTACCGCTGTTTAATAGGACATGATTAGTCATCACGGAGAAAAAAGCATATTAGCTGAGAAGGTAGTTACTCGGCACGCATCGGTGATTGCCTGGATGTGATTGCAATATTCTTCCGAACATCATATTATCTCAGACATGTTCTTCGGAGCCCTTGGAGTCCTCCTTTCTAAATTCACTGTCATAATTTAGGATCTCTTTAATTTTTCAGCCCAAAGAGAGAAAAGCAGTTGCCGAGTATTATTTGACTGCAGTCTCCTTGGTGTTAACAACAAAATGGGAAAAAATAAATAAGAGTAACGATGAAATCCAGAAAGGAAATCGTGAACCCTGCTAACAATCACATTTCAAGTACGTTTAGTCAACTCAATAAATGAGTCCACAGCGATTTTTTTTCTTTCCAGCTGAGAGAGAGAGAGAGAGAGGTTTGTTTTATTTTTTTCTGTCCTTTGGCCAAGGTGGGTGTGTCAAATTCAGAGGTCCCTCTCATGCTGTGTTGCCTAAGTTATACAGATTTTTGTATCGTGTCTTTAGATGAGTGTAAAATCTATTTGAATAAAAAAAAAAGTTCACAAAGATGCATTGATTTTTGTACAGATGGATGGCACCTCCACTGATTTGGAAATTGACCTACATGTGAACACATCATGGGCCAACTTGAGGGGCTGGGAGGGTTACGGGTCATTGACACAGAAAGGATCCCAACAGCAGGCACTTCCCATCTATTTTTGTATATTCATTTTAGAATGAGATGGTGGCCCATTTTATTTATTTTTTAAAAGGTGATACTGAATCTTGTTAGGAAGCAAAGGAGAGGGGAGGGTGGTTTTCAGCTATGGAAACAATTTAGATGTAACACTTTTGCCGATGGAGACAAAGGGCTGTATCTTAGGGGAAGCGTAGGCTTGTCTAATAAAACCCAAATGCTTGAGAAAGGGGGCCCATCAATAGCATCCCTTCTCACCTCCCTCTCTATGGCTGTTGTCAGAGGGAGACAGACCTGTCCAAAACTGAACGCTCATTGCTAGCCGCCATGTTGATACATATTTTGCTATTCAGTTATTGCTACACTGGGCTATTGCTGACTCCCACCAATTACAGACATGGCAAAACAGCAGGATTGTTTTTGATGAAGAGGAGCAGGGATTCTTAAGAGGCCTTGGGAGTAGAAAGGTGGAGAAAAAGGTCTAGGATGGTGAAGAGGGAAGTCTGACCTGAATTAGAAACTGCTGGACAGCATTTCCAACCCCACCCGGCCAAATAATTGGAAAAAACCCTATTTCAAGTTTTTTCACATGTGTCATCTATGTTTCAAATGACTTGGGAGGTTCATTTTTTGTTTTTGTTTTTGTTTTTTATTTTTTTCTCCTTTCCAAAAAAAAGACAAGATGGAGCAAAACATAACGTGCTGAGTGAAATGTCCGTGTGCACAAAATATTCAAAATCAGTTTCTCCTCTGAATTAAAACTCTCTGGAATGTCAGTGTCTACGAATGGGAGGAGGGAGGGGGTCCCCAGTGTGATACTGAGAATGCTACCCAAATGTCCTGCCTCTCCTTTAGTGTTTGAGATACACAATTCATTCCTGTGTGCCTGTTTTTATCTCTCTCTCCCCACCTCCCCCTTTCTTCCCCCTTCTTCCCCCTCCTTTCTTTCTCCCTCTCCCCCCCTCCCACCATGGAAATCCATCAGTTAGAGTCTGACTCCCCAGAGCAGGAAGTGCAATGCTCCTGCTCCTCTTAACATGTTGTTGGTGTTCCAGGAGGAAGTCCCACTCTCCAGAGCCCAAGTTTTGGCAACAAGATGTTTCGAAAGGAGGAGGAGTTGGGGGGGGGGGCAATGATAAATGGAGGTATTGTTTGTGAGTCTGCTTTTGTGCTGTTAGGAAAAACAGAAGCACCTTCCTTATTCCCAAAGCCCACCCTCGTATGTGAATGTCTTGCTAATACAAAGACTGTAAAAGACTTAAAGAGAGAGGCTGTCCTAGAGATTGCCCTTGGTGGGGGGCAAAAGATACAGTTTAAAATATTTATTTCCATGGCTGATGTGAGCTATGTAAGAAGTGGTGGATGAGATAAAACCATTTTGTTTTGTTGTTGTTTTTTTGGTTTGGTTTTAATAGAAAGACTCAAAAGAGACAAGCAAAGATTGGAAGGAGCATTTAAAAAGCAGGAGGCAAAAAGATAGTGAATGATGCCATCGTCCCCTACAGGAGGACAATCACTGGGATTTTATATCCAAGCAAAGCTTCCTTCCTCCCTTCAATCAGTCACATTATTTGGCTGAATGATTGCTAAAATGGATGAGTGTTTATTTCAGATTTAGTCAGGTCCAGAGAAGTGTAAAGGAGGGCTGCCAGAAACAGGATTCCCTACCAAGAGATCTGCCACAGAGACCTTGCTGTCTTTGTTTCAATGCCCAGGTTCTCTTAACTGGAAAGGATTTCAGATCTCAGGATGCACAGCTTCCCCCCTTCCCATCCCACCCTTTCCCTACCCTGCCCTGATACTCCCAAAGATGAGTAGCCCTCATAAGTGGAGTGGTGATGAGTGGAATGGTGAATTAATGAATCTCCTGCCTTATGAACAGAGCTAGTCTCCTGTCTCCCAATAAGTTCACATCAACATTTACGTATTCCAGAAGGGCGTGGCAGTATAGAAAATTCGTTCCTGGCTCCTAAGTAGTTTCGTAATTTGTTACATTATATTCCACAGAGGGAGTCTGTCTCCATTTGAGAGGATCTGGGAAGTTGTGGAGAAGGGGGGGATTGTTCTTTTTTTTTTCTAGACCTTCAGGATGGTGGCCTGACCCCCCCCCCAAAAAAAAAGACATAGACGTTAGCATTTTCCTTACAAAGTTCACACTCAGAGAAAGTTCCAAGGGGCTCCTACCATTCTCATTCACAAATTTCTTTGGGCAGCATAGAAAGGAAAATCAAAAACCTGAATTCCTGTCCAGGAAAGATGGAATGACCTAGCTGAAAGTTAGACCCACTGAACATTCAGGATGAAAGGGAAGTCTTTGCTGAGGATGAAAGAATCATACAATTGTAGATCTGGAGTTGGGAGGGACCTAAGAGGCCATTTAGTTCAACTACCTCATTTTACAGATGAGGAAACTGAGGCTGGGAGAGGTTAGGTGACTTGCCTGAGGTGACATAGGCAGTGTCAGAGGTGGAATTTGAAGCCAGGTCCTGGAGAGGACTGTAAAGCCCATGATCTTCCCATGGCGCCATACTGCCTCCATAGTCATCGTAAAACACAGGTATAACTGTGACCATGATAGGAAAAATATCTCACCCACTAAGTCAACTCTTTTAACTCCATTCTTGCTCCTAGTTCCTCTTTGATTGGCTTTCTCCAGAACCCATCTTCCCTATTCCGCACATCCCCCAAGCATGTTATAAACAAACGAAAAAATAAATTTTAAAGCAGTCAGGAGGAAATGCCCACAGAAACACATGGAAGACATGAATCTGTCTGGTTGATTTGTATAATATAACCTTTATTTCTACAACTCGCTTGTCAGTCTTCCTACTTTGCCAAGTCTCACCTCTCAGAGTTTATCCTTTGAAAAAATGAAAAAAAAGTTTACTAAGAGCTTCAAAATCCTGGATGTGAATTACCATCAACATTTCCTAATTTGGCCCATGTCTTTCCTTTTCTGTTATCCACAAAGCCCACTGGGGCCACCCAGTCCAAAGATGATTTTTCAACACTCCTTATCTGAGAAACAAAGTGGGGAGGGGTTTGGACACCACACTATGGCTGGTGCTACCATGGAGCACAGGGAACATGGCCTGCCAGACACACCTCCTTACTTGGCCATCATTGTTTTGTCCTTTAAAGTACTAAATTATGTGGCTTTTCAGCCCAGGGTGCATGATTTGCATGTTGTTTTAAGAGAAAAGTGAGAGAGAACATGGTGACTGAGGCTAGAAGGAGCTGTTATTAAATATGGCCCACTAAGGAAAAATACACAGGTCTTAGCGCTCATCATTGGTCAGGGCATGGGCAAACCACAGCCTCTCAAAGCCTCAGTGTCCACATCTGCAAAACAAGTGGGTTAAACAAGATGTGCTCCTAGTATCCAGTAGCTAAGAGAAGGGACCAAACCTTGCATTATTCATTCCTATGTCTGGAAGGAAAAATAATCACTGATGAGTCCAACTGTGTGGTTTGAGAAGAAAGTTTATTGATTGCCTCCATGGTGACTCAAGAGCATCCTTAAGAGATAGGGAATGACCTTTCCCTTCATCCTCTTGGAACCCCCAATGCTCTTCACACACAGTAGACCTTCCCCACCTCCAAAAGGGATTAGACTTTGGCTGAGTCCCAGAGGAAAGAACTGGGTCCAATGAATAGAAATTGCAAAGAGGAACATAGAGTTCTGCTAGGAGGGGAAATGGCCAATTACTTAGAGCTTTCACAAGCAGAATTGGCTGCCCCAGGCAGGGGTGGGCTCACTTCAGTGGGCATCCTCAAGCAGAGACTGGATGGCCACTTGCTCAGGATGCTATAGAGAGCAGACTCTTGACTGAGCCACAGCTGAAGGGTCATGGGGGGAGGGAGGGGTACTGGCCAACTTTGAAGATCAATTTATTTTTCATTTTAGGTCAGATGTAGAGGTAATTTAATCTCTGAGTTATTTTAAGACAATAATTCTTTTGATCAAAAATAAAAATGAACATTTTTTTTTAAATTCAAGAACTCTGACTTGGAAAGTATTTGGGGTATTTCAGCAATATTATCTCCATATCCCCATATCATGCATGGTCATGCGTGTGCAAATGCAAACACTCACAGGAAATGTGAAGGGCCAAATCTCAGGTCATTTCCTCTGCATCTTCAATAAAATATAAGCCCCTTGAGGGCAGAAACTGTTTCATTTTTCCTTTGTTTTTCCAACACCTAGTAGAGTGTGTGGCACATAGGTGCTTTAACAAAAGCTTATTTATTGGTACTTCATCAAACAACAGCAACTGTGTGTAGGGCACTGTCCTAGGTGCTGAGCGAGATTCAAAGCCCTCTGCCTTCATGAAGTTCGTAGAAGAAACCACAGGAAAAACAAATATTTTACTGTGAGACCACAAATCTGAAATTGGAAGGAACCTAAGAGATCATTCAGTTCCATTTCCTCAGTCCCACTTCACAGATGAGCACCCTGAGGCCAAGAGATGTGAACTGACTAAACCACAGAGTAAACAGCAAAGCCTGGATTGAAACCCAAGTCTTTTGATTCCAAATTTGGAGTTCTTTCCACTGGGTCACCCTGCCTACAATATAATGCTTAAAAAGAACAATAGGGTTTTCTGGTTAAAAAATATTTTCCAATCCACTATTTCATTCGATGCTCCCAAAACCCAGTAACGTAGACAGGGGGCATATTATTGTCCAAGTTTTTTCCAGATGAAAGTGAATTGGCTTGTCCAAGGTCCATTTAGAAATGGTGGAGTCAGAACCTGAACCCATATCTTCTGACTCCAACTCCAGTGTTCCTTTCACTGTACCTGCACTGAACTGCTCTCCAAAACAAATTCAGATGCCCTCAGCAAACACAACTGTAGCAAACATATAGAATGGAGGATCCAGGAGGGCAGGGCTGTTTGGCTTTTGTTTTTTTATGCCTAACATCTAGTTTAGTGCCTAGTACACAGTTGGTATTCAATAAATGCTTTGGGGGCAGTTAAATATTATGACAGCAGTCACAGAAAGCCAGCATCTAACTCATATTTCAAGGAAAGGCCTTTCATTTTTTCTTGCTGAGTATTGTTTAAACTTGGGCAGAAAGCTAAAAACTGCTTTTGAAATCCATACTTAAAAATAAGAAATTAGAAGTTGAGCTAATCATAGAAAATCCTGGTGAGTTGCCCTTATCAAATGAAGGGATCGTGGTTTTGGTTGAAGACAATTTCAGATCTTTCTGCCACTTGTATATGCCTGTATATAGAAATCTTCAGAAATACCCTTTGGCCCACAGAGTGTAACAATTCCTGAGTGACGTGTAGACTGCTCATGGGCTCCAACCTCCCAGCTGCCTGCCTCCCTTCTGACATTCTTGGAAGTCCCATTTATATGTCACATGCATTCTTGGGATAACATGTGGGAACATAGGAATGAATACAATAAGTCACCAAGAGGGAAACAGTCTAGAAATATTATTTGTCATTCATTGTTTATGCAAATACATACTTGTTTTCTGTGATGGCAAACTTTATTGTGAGCATAGAGGGATATTGGAGGAAGACCCTTGGAAAAGGAATAGTGTGGGTTATTCAGTGGAGTAGGTTGGGAAAGTACTTTGAGAAATTAAGACTGTTCAAAAGGGGGAAAATTCACCTGTAATGTATGAGGTAAAACTTAGTTATCTATAAACACAAATATTTTGATATCGATGGAAGAACACAAAAAAGGATGATATATGAAACTGTGAACTTGTTATGTACAATTTAAGTTTTTAAGTGTATATTAATATATGATAGTAACACAATTGTCCTGTTTGTCTCCTTCTATATAAAGTAATTTTTCCTCAAAGATTTGAAAAATGTCCCCCATGCTTGCTCCCAGTTTGTTTTGAAGGCATATGCAAGTTGAACATCTTTCACCTGTCCATGACCATTGGTGGGGTCCTTCTCTAAGTCACTTCTCTGTGGAAAATGAGCTCTCCTGAAAAGTCCACTTTCTTTGGTCCAGTTTTCCAGTTGAGATGCACTGGGTCCTACAAAGGGAAAGAATCATCTACATCCTTTCCAAGGACATATGAATCTCACTGGTAGAGGTACGAAGCATTGGATGTACCTGAGGGAGGGATTCTACACTGGGGGCACTCTGATTGACTTTGGAATGTATGTTCTGAATATTCTTCACTGGGTACAGCCAGGCAGTGTGTGTTTTAAAGAGACCCATCCTGAAGGTCCCTCAGGATCAGTGCATCAGTTTCCCTTTGGGCCCTTGACTCTCTTCCCAGGGGCCACCCCCAGGCTGTCTTCTCTTAGCCCTCTCTAGTTATCCAACCACTCTCTTTTCTTTTCATCTTGTCATCGTGTGCTTTTCTTAAAAGGTGCGGGGGAGCAAGTCTGAAAGGTCTGTCTCAGGCCTGGCACAGGGCAAATGTTAACACACGGTTGTTTTTTGTTTGTTTCTGTTTCTGTAAATAGCAATGTACAAATAATGGGAAAAGGCAGTGTGAAATTAATGAAGAGATGCGCTTTTGAGTTTTTATATTACCTCATTCAGCAAGTTTGTTTTACAATGATGATTCAACAATGCTTAATTTATATTGTTTGTACTGTAATTAAAGCCATTGACAGACATTTCACCTTGCTTGTTATTTCATACAATCTTGATTTGATTAAATATGCCAGTTTGTATTATGTTTTTTTCCCTCCCGTGGGATTTCTTTGTGTGTGTCAGCTGTACAGTATTCTGAATGAAAAATGAAAAAAAGAAAGAGAAAAGGTGTAAAGTACTGCCTAGAGAGAATGAGAGAGAGGCTGCTATATTGTACAGGTCTCCAATAAAGAAAAAAACAACATGTCACAAGGCCTCTGTGGACATCTTTTGGTATCAATGGTCTTGGGTTGTGGTTTGGTTTGGGTCTTTACAATGGGTTTGGTTCCCATTCTCCAGGGAAGGAGTACATTGACAAGGAGGAGGGTTCAGAGCTCTCACTATCTAAAGCTTTCAATATGTGCAGTGCTAACATAATGGCCCCAGCAAGTAAACCAATTTGCCAACTTAGGCTGATTTGGGTAAATCTCTAGGCTGACCTAATACTA